AAAAAAAAAAAAAATATATATATATATATATATATATATATATATATATATATATTTCTACAACAAACATGCACACAAACTTATTTTATTTTCTATTATTAGAAAAAATTACTTATAAAAAAAGAAACCATCCACTTGATCAAAAAAGTTATCTTGTATTATATATATATTTATTTATTTTTATTTATTATTTATTTTTTTTTGTTCAAATAAAACAAAAGTAATAGAACATAAATATGTTGTTTAATACATTTTATTTATATTTCATCAAAATGAATTTTCAAATAATTTGATTATATAAATATTTAGCCACGCCACATATCATAAAGCATCAGGCCGACAGCTGATTGATAAATTAGAAAATCTTTCTGCAAAATGTCAGCCCAGCTTAAATCTATAAATTGCCTAGGTCAATACCCCTTTAGATTTAATGCGAGTTGATAGGGTAATTGAACAATTTTAAAAGGCAGCGTTGTTCATTTTGTAATAAAAAATGCGAAGCGGCATCTAATTAACAGTTTCTGATATATACATATACACGTTCAATAACAAATATACTTGAAGTGCTTCAGCTGTTTTATTTTGGCAGTCCGTAAACCATTTGGTAAATGTTTTCAAAAAATAATTTCGGTTGACGTCTGTCAGGCGAGCAACAACGGCGATTGTTGTCGCTGTTGAAAGGCCAGCCGGGCAAACCGTGCAATCCGCCAACAAACAGACATCAGCCACCAGCCAGGCGGACAGACGGAGCGTAGAATGAATGGGGAAAAGGCAGCGCAATTATTTAACATATAAATGGCGACCTTTTTGTTTATGTTGCGCATTTTGCAACTTTGGCTAAGCGCCGCATCCCAATTAAATTGTCAGCGAGAATATTTTGTTAGCGTAAATTAATTTCTGTGATTCCGAATGGGGAACTGCAATTCGCCGGAATGCGAATGGGAATTGACAACGTACAGGAATCTAATTAAACTGTTTTCGAGCATCGATTTACACTGGGATTTTCTGCTTTCCATTCTATTTTCGGTTGCACATGAGACGCCAGAGTCAATTTGAATATAATTTAATGGCAAAGTCAGCGAATGCCGAACCTGAGCCAGCACTGCTGCTGCTAGTCTCTGTCGCTGCTCAAGGTCTGCGCTCGGCCTGTATGCATAATTACTCGCAATTGAACTTAATGAGTGAGCAGCGGCTCTGCGAGGCTGGCGGATATGACGTAGGCCGTATACTGCGAGTCTGGAATGTATCCTTGGCGCCAAGTTCCTTAAATTATTGCCTGGGGCTGTCGACAGCCTGTGACCTTAGCACTCAGATGCTGCTCTTGGTGGTATTACATTTGCGCCTCTCGACAATATTCGCTTAGGCACGTACCAAAATATTGAGATAAAAAAAAATTAGGAAAAACGAAAAAGATAAACTTTAATTTGCGCATATTCACATGAACGTATAAAAAAGAGAACAGGAATGAGAATCCTCTCCAGAGCTATTCAGCATGTCCGGCCCGTGACGGCTCAACTGTCAGTCTAGTTAAATATCTGTAAAGTTTAAACTTACTTTAATTAATCATTTTGATCTCCCGTCTTATATCTCTTTATAGCTCATATGCGTGCGCCTGTTTTCCCGGCTTCAGCGGCAGCGATTGCGGCCACGGGCCGCTCTGCACGGATGCGCATACAAATATTTGTCAGAACGGTGGCATTTGCAAGTGAGTACAGTTGAAACAAAACATATGTCAGAATTTTAAAGGAGTTCTTAAAATATATAAACATACAGAAAGAAAAGATTTACATAGAGTAAAACCTAGAAAAAATAAAAATTATGCATTAAATTGATATATTTTTCAAAACAGTTTATATATGTATATATTTAAAGATTTAAAATATAAAAAAAATAATAATAATAAAAATAAATAGGTTATAAATTTTTTTTTAACAAATACAAATTGTGTATACAATTTTTTTATTATTATAAATTATATTTATAAATAATATTATATTATATTATATTATATTATATTATATTATATTATATTATATTAT